CACACATTGGCTTTCTGAGTTCGCAAGCGCCAAATTTGGCTCTTGTCAATTCTTCACGTTTGCTGCCTGGGCATCTCTAGGAGTCCCTGAAGCTCGCCTTTAAGACTGTTAGAGGGTGAGCGCACCTTGGTGGAATCTTGAAATATACCGCACATGGCCGGAGACTGAAAACAATGTAACAATGAGCAAGCCCATAAGGCGGGGCATTCGTCTTGGATCCTTCTGTTTTCCCTTTTCAGGGACCAGCGTACCCTTGTACCCGGGTCTTTGGAGCGAGCCTACAACTCGTTCGTCAACCCTGGAAGCTGCGACGGGGAATGCCAGGTAATGGGTTCTGCACGGCGTCGAGACGCAAACGACTGCAGAAACCTTGATGCCGGTTTGGTTTGGGTGCGGTCCGCATCGGTTTGGGTGCATGTTTGGGCCAGGACATAGTGGATTGGCACCAAGGGTTGATCCGTATCATGTCCGGCCTGAAGTGTATTTGCTCACGAACATCATCATAACCATCATCTTATTTGCATTGGCGGAACATCCATTTGCTCAAGAACATGTTTTACTTCCCCTTGCTGGTTTTAAAGGGAATCGAATTCACAACTGGAGCTATTTTATCGTTTTTGTCCCGGGGTCGAAAAAGCAAATGGAAGTGACCCTCAGGCACCCTTAAACAACCAGTTCTGAGTCCTTTGAAAGGATTGGAGCCTAGGGCCCTAAGGAAGTGGAACGTGTTCAGCAGCCATCGCCCCATGTCTGCGCAGGCTTCCCCCAGCGAGGCGCAAACGCGGCCGCAGGCAGGGGGCTGCGCCGGGGGAAGGGTTTTGATAGGGGCTGCACTGGGGACTCTGCGCGCTGGTTTTTACCAGTAGCATTCACTGTTTCACTACCAACTACATATACAAAAATTGCATATACGTATATACAGTTGTTGTTTTTTCGTGACTGGAAGTACTTAAGTTTGTGTTGCCGCATCAGCGACTTGCTGTCTGCGTGAGGGCGTTGTTCATGTGATTCATCGAGTGTGCCTAAAGAGCTAAAAAAAAACACCTGGACCTGCAGCAATGTCGTATGTTTTTGATGATGTCGGCATCATTAGCCGGCATGTTTGTGAGCCACCTGGCACTCTTCCATGTGAATGCGTGCCGATGGCGTTTGCTGTACTTCGAGGAAACCCCGTTTGGAGGACCCCATTGTTGGGTTCCATGTCAATTTGTAGGGGAGTACTGCAGGTTTGCCATGGTTTGCCAATGGCCAGCCGTTTCATGTTCCAAAATCTGTGAAGGGCTTCCACTGCCTTCAGACAAAGACGCGTGGATGGGGACTGTAGACATGCTCATGAAAAGGACTCTTTGCTGGATGAGCATATGTTTATCACCCTTTGCAACACAAAATTGAGGAAGAGTTTGATCATTGAGCCAGTTTGTCCAGCCTATCCGGAAATGGTACCCTCGAGATGTGGCGAGCAAAACCAACAGTTTACTTTAGGCCCATGTTAGAATGACTTTTGCACTACATGGGCGGCTCAAAACCATTTTTATCCTTATTCTGCACATGTGAACCGAGAAGGGATCCGTGGCCTACGCTGCTTTTGCCCAAGCTACTGGTAAATTGATGTGAGAGACGTTTACCGAAGGAGCAGAGATCCCAAGCGCATGTGTCGCATCCACAAGGTTGCATGTTGATTCTGCCCAACGGGTGGACGTCCGGAGATTCCTCCCGCTCGCTCTAAGCCTGCTTGCCGTGTTTTGGTCAGGAGCAACTCTTCGAGGAGCGGGATCACTTCGAGCCGCAGCGCGCCCCGTGGATACTTTTTGGACGAAACCCTGCATTGCGGAAGTGGAGTCAGAAGGAATGCCGTGGCAGCAACGGCTGGCATTCTTCTAAGCTGGTTTGTTTGGCGATGGCAGTCAATGTGGGACGTGTCGGTTTTTCCTGGCTCGTGGCTTTTGGCTATATTCTGTTTCACAAAAGCCGGCCGAACTACAACATTCAAGAATCAGTCCAGGCTCGTCGCTGCGTTGTCACTGCAACGTGACAAGACGTGGTGAAGAACTCACATCAAGACTTGTCGTAAGCACATGTCCCCGTGGCTAAAAAAACACAAACGTTCCTCTGGGATTGACGTTGGAGGCCTGGAATGGAGATGAAGCTTGACTTTCAGTGACACGTGTGTGCGTCCTTTCGTGGATCAAGCGATGTCTCATTGCAATTTGTTGGTTGGTGTTGGCGTTTGCCGATTGTTGTTCAATATGGGATGTGTTAAACTAAGGTGACCCCCTCAATGCCGACGTGCATTTTGGTATTCCTTCAAACAAATCAACGAAGAAGCCCTCAAAAGCACATACACACATATGTTGTTGGTATATTGGACATGTCGAAAGTGGTGTCTTCCCTGATCTTGCAAGATTGGAATTGTACCATGCTGAATTTGAATGGTCGGGCCTTGCAAACTTTGAGGCGCTTACCCTCAAACGAGCAGCGGGTGGGCTTTCTTGAGCCAGTTTCCTGGCTTCTTGGTGAGGACGTGAAGGCCAACCCCGGCAAGGAAGGCGAGTTCTCGGGGGGTGGCCGGATCAGACGGTCAGAAAGGTGAAACGACACCGCCGAAAGGCCGCCCCACAGCGGCAGCAATCTTCATGACCCCTCAACTTGCTGCCGCGAGAGGTTTGAAGTGTGACGGTTTCTAAGGTTTGAACAATTAGATCTCCGCAACACGTGCATTTTGCTCGGACCACTCAACACCCAGGCTTCTGTGGATCGCATGTGCCAAGGCATGTCAAAGTGGATGTCATTCTGTTCGCTTGCCAGGCGGTGTAATTAAGAAGCAGTCCCACCAGTAAACTCATTTTATGCACCCTTGCACCAACATATTGTGAACTGAAAGGCTTGTTCTAACAGGTTCGGCAATAAGATGTCGTTTGATCCCTTGGCTTGTTGATTGGTTACTGCTTGGCATCCATCCATCATTGTCATGTTGTGTGCATGCCACTCATCCTTCGGGTTCCTGCTCCATAGAAACTCGCCATTCTGTTCGTCAACTTGCTAGCGGCACTTTCCTTGTTTGGTGGAAGCCCGCAGCCGCGCGTTTGCGGAGGTCACTTGAAGAAGGGGGATAAAACATGATGTGCAAAAACTCATGGTGACAGAGTTCACTAGTTTCACGTGTGGAATGTGGAAGGGGCATTTTTCAGGAAATGTCCGGTAGCCCGCCAGTCGATTTATGTCAGCAACCACTTGGCCCCACACTGTCCGGTTTGTGCTTGACCGTGCTGTTGCAGCACGCCATTTGTTGGATTGATCGTGCACTGGCACTGGCATGTTGCAAAAGGGCATGTCGCAGCACGCTCGCTCAGCCTGTCAATGTATAGGCTGATTCCTGCAGGCAGTTTGGGCTCATAGAGCGCCAACTTGCCGCGCCATGACAGCTGCTGGGCGAAAGTTTTTTTCAGAGCTCGGGAGTGACAATAGTTCACCATTGAGACCAGTGACCAGCATGTGTCGGACACATGTTGCGTTTCTTGTGTTTCTGAAAGTGTTTCCTTTTGCTTTCCTTTACCGCCATCAAAAAGGTGGTTCGAGTACAGTATTGGAACCGTGTTCTTCGTAGGGCATTGCCTTTACATGGAAAGAATGGACACAAGAACTTTGCGGAAATGCTCAGGATTTCTTGGTCGGCGCATACGTGTTCTTCGCCTGGTGTAGGAAGGGTCATGTATGGTGTTCCTGCCATTAGCTCGAGGCTGTCCATGGCTTGGAAGGCTGTACCATATATCCAAAACAATCCCATTGTGGTTTTATTCGGAATCGAAGGGAGTTGCTATTCATTGCTGGTTCAATCAACGGTCGTTGGGGTTTGGGGAAGGGGTGTGACTTTTAGATTTCCGATCAGGGGGCATCAATGAAGCGCATGATGCACCATCGACTGCAGCCATGTCAATGTGCTTGGGCAAATTATTCTGAGCTCACCTAAGGGTAAAAACAAACTAACTTACCCATGATGAAGACCGTTTGGTACGAAATTTCCAGATTTCCTGTTTGGGAGTTGTATAAATTTGCCCAAATGACTGTGAAACTACAAAGCACGTTGCCAGGATTTCCATCATGGTGGTCTTTGCACATGCGTGTAGCCAGCCTAACATGTCCTAGTGTTCTCCCTTAGGCCACACATGAAGCCCGTTAGTTTTATGCACAGCTGATGGCATGGACCACCTGGCCCGCATGCTTGCAGGCAGAAAGCTGCGCAGGAATTTGCATGGATGCGTGGCCATGAGAAAGGGGGACAGTTGTTTGGCTGATTGGCAAATTGTCAGCTTGGAGAAGCAACAGAAAAAGTGCAGAGGATTAGACAAGGCCTCATTTGGATGATGGCATTATCTTGTTTGGCAGAACTCAATTCATTGCATCCCAGTTTCAGACTTCCAGCTTCCTGTTTGCACATGATGCAGGCCCCTCCGCAGCCACGTTGCACTGAGGAATTTCCGAGAAGTGACAAGGTCGAAGCGGAAGCCTCAGTGGACATCAGTGAACGCTACACGTTGCATAGCTGCAGTCTCCACATCAACCGCAGTCGTTCTACTCTGGCACAGACCCAAGTTCCCAGACACATCAGAGGGGAGCATCAAATGGCATTGACATGGGCGTGCTTCTTGTGAGGATGATGTCCACCTCGGATCTACAGCCTAGCAGACTCAAGGGCGGTTTGCCCGCATAACCCCGCACACGTCAACTCTAAAGTGTCCTCCCCTGTCAACGAACTTGGGGTGAATCCTGGGTACTCTATGGAAACACGCTTAGTATGCATATATTTAGGTATGTATGTAATACATATGAAACATATATATATATATACACATACAAATACGCAGGTTAGTCACACACCCTTTGGATATGTCTAGCCCTCCCGCGCCCGACCATGTGACGCACATGTTGCAACCAAGAGTCAAATGCTTGGCCCTTCCAGTTCCTGACCTTTTAATGTCCAATGTGTCGGTGCGAGGTTTGTCACTTGAGCTTGTCATCAACACGTTGCTGCGCCGCACAGACCGCACAGACCGCACTTGCCTTGCCCTGCTTTCATGCGTGTGCTGGTGCGCGTTGGGTTGGCTTGCGTGGCAACGCTACGAGAGAGCGCACGTAAGTCATATCTGGAAAGGCATATATATATATATATGCATATATATATATGTAGTAGTGTGCGCGCATGCGACTCTATGTGGTACTTGCGAACACATTGCCCTTTCCTATTGTGTGCTGTTTTGATATGTTTTGATCATGTGTGTGTGGAGGCATCGTCCTGAACGGCCCCAACATACAAGGGCTGCGCCCCAGCCACAGCCCAATCTGAGCGATTCGATGTGCCTTGCCAAGGTCAAGTCGCGCAGTTGCAATGACTTTTGGTGCGTCCCGATTTTCCTGCTGGTGCTGGCAGGCGAAGGGCTGACAAGAAATGGGGACACCACAACACTTCGGAGTAGGGAACCCCTCCTGTTTTGAGCAACCCAGAAAATGCTTTCTCGGACAGCACCTGCTTGGCCTGGAAAGCCATGAGTACTTCCCAGACCCTCCACAGAGCTTGCGGTTCCATGTAAAATGAAAGCGGACTCGTGTCCAAAACAGAACTTTGAACATGACAAGCAGCGGCCAACACCAGGGTTGGGCAACATGTTTCAACAAGCAGACCCTGTCCAAAACACTGGCTGTTTAGACAGAAGGGGGCCTAATACTGTGCAAACTTTGTTGGTTGGCACATCCCTGATACATTATATATATATATACATATGGCTGTGGGTCAAAACCAACAGTAATTACCATTTTGGGGTAGGTGCACCACCCATTTTAATCTATTTTAGTGGTGATTGGGATGTTCACTGGGGGTACGATTTGGGTTTTGACCCATGGCCATATATTTTTAACGGAGGTTCGACATCACCGCTCGGTCTGTGAAGTCAGTAGTTTATGATCCAGAGTCATTTTTAACCTTCTGCATTGCCCTAGACATTCCTTTCCCTCTCGATTATTCTGGGTAAATTATATCGACGTGACACGGCCTCACCCCAAATGGTGGGAATAGCCCCCCAACCACCGCAAGTTTCAGGTGGGACTGAAGTATTATAACTCACTCAGATTGCCCTCCAACCACCTTATTTCAGGTCGGGGGAAAAAAAAAGAAAAAAACGTCAGATTCTTTCAGGGCTTGCACCTGTGTTTGCCGGTGGGAGTTCTTTTCAACAGCCAGGCATGGCGGGTCTCACCTGGTGGGCTGCGACGAAGGAGGGCGCGCAGATCCAGCGGCTGATACACCCAGCCTCTCAGCCCCAATGGGTTTTAGGAATCCCGGCGGTGGGATTCCTGTCAGTTTTCCAGATGGCTATCTTCCATTTGCTCGGGTGTAGTTGGTGGTTTTAAAGGGAATCGATGTCTAACTACTGGACGTTTTGTTTCTTACTGAAGTAAATGGAGGGTATCTGTCAAACTAGGGGGACTGAAAACGACGGTGTCCCTTTTGGCTTCCGTTTAAAACAGCCCCAACAAGTGTCAAGCACACGCACCCAGACGTTCTGACAGGTGGACTTGTAATAGCAAGCATCTCATTTGTGATCGCCTCGCACTTGTCGCCGGCATTAATAGAGACACTTTTCTGTGTCGGACCATGATCCTGTTGGAAGAACCCGTCAGCTTCCTAGTTGGTTGAACATGGTTGAGGGTCGGCAGCGCGTTTGTCCATTGATCTTGCCTCGAGTTATTGCTATGATTCTGCTTGGAATTGGCCTTGGTGAATTTGCCATTTATGTTACTTTTGGCGAGGCTCGTTGTGTGTTGGCCTATAGACAGATGCTTGTGAATCGCATTGGACAAGGTAGAAAGGCGGACTGAGTAGTTAAGCTCGTGTTGAACATACCCGATGGTTTCTTCGAGCTGAGATAGTGTTGTTTTTTGAGCCAAATCGGACGACACAGATTGCCTATTAGGTGAATTGATTGGCAGATCATCGGATCAATCAGTTCATGAGTACAAAGAGGTACTTTGTGATGGGTGTGTTCTTGCTGCTGCTAATGGTTGGATAATGCGTTACCGAAGCAACATGATGGCTTCCAGATGGCTTTACCTTCCAAGGATATTATTGCATTGAGCGGTGGTGATACACACTTTTGTTCCTGAGGCCAGCACGATTGAATTGGCAATTGGTGTGTGTGTGTGAATACAATGTCTGAACCCATTTTTGAAAAACCATGGAAGTCGAGCAGGTGCGTTTTCAAGACGATGGTAGCTTCAAGACCCCCATTTCCACATGCGTGATTGTTGGCAAGAGGTTGGCAAGTGGCTGCTAGTGCCAGGGTTCAAGGTGTTTTGCTGGCAAGGCTAGGTGGCTCTCCCGTCCACTAGCAAGGAAGCCGGCAAACGCTGGGGAAAATGATCTTCCAGGATGCCCCCCAGCCTCCCTCCGTGGCACCAGCCGAATGCCAACAGCCCTGAGGTCGACTATGCTGGCAGAATCTGCGGCAGCAGCGCCGGGGTGGAGGACGGAACCGGACTGAGACAGAGCGAAGGCAATCGATCCTGTCGAACTTTTGGTGTTGCCCCTCGATTGGCTTTTGTGATTGCCGTGATTGATATGCCCGGGCTTGCTCCAGAGGTATCACCCACGAAAGAAAGGAATCGTTTTACCCTGAAAAGCATGGTGTCAACTTGCAAAGTCTCGGGTTTCCACCAATCCAAAGGCCCCTGTACCTGACGCTGAGTTGGTGAAGTTTAGCCCGTCAGTTCGGAAGTTCCAGATCCACACCCAACAACACCTAAGAGCCAGTCATGAAGAGGCACTCTGGGTTCCTACTTTTTGCTTGGACTGGGGTCTTGGCGGAGCCAAGTCGCCTCGCTTGCATGGCGAGCACACTTGTACGTGCAGTGCCTTTTGCACATTGTTTTTGTTTTTCCCAACCAATCCGTGCATGCTCCACACAGGACAAGCACTATATCTATGTTTGTGGCAACGCCCATTCTGGCTACGAGGCGCGTCCAGAACTGGCCATGAGGCGGCAAACCTTGAGTTCCAATCTCACTTTGGTCTCCTGCTTCCGATTCTTAGTTGTTCTTCTCAACGAAGCCGTCCAAGGGTTTTCCTATTAAGCCCTCCTGGGTATGCGAAAATCAAGGTTTTTGCAGTGACTTTGTGTATTTGGGTGTATGACTTTTTTTTCCAGCCACAAAGCTCTATACCCCAAAATGACTCAACTAACCGTCATTTCGCATGCCAGAATACAAGAAGCAAATCCCGAAACCCGCAATGATTGTTTTTTGGTCAAGGCCGTATGATCAAACAAAACCAGGTGCATACGCAGGTGCTGGGATTTGCGGCCTTTGGGGAATCACCAAATGCTAGCCTATGTCCAGATAAACCCCTGGTTACTTGGGTTTATGTTGGATTAGTTTGGGTAGTTTCCCTAGGGTGTAGTCCCAGGATTTAATAGGAACATCCTTAGCAGCCGGCTCAGACTCATGCGTTGGAAGGCATCCTGCCCAGGCGCATTGCTTTTGCCTGATCGGAATATGGACAAGTAGTCAATCACCCTCCCACCAAACGGGAGAGCAACCACATTATTTGAAAGACGAACTTTGGAAAGGGTTCTGCGCAATTGCGCCAAGACAGCTTGGTGCTGGGGTGCCGGGTAGGTTTTAACCTGTTTTGTTTTCAGTCACGCCAGAAGGAAACCACACAATCTTAGGGGGGGTTCCCCTATTTTGACACAGACCCATCTATGTCTTATGCGCGCATTCCACTTTCCCTACTCGTGCTTTGCTTGCTTGCATACTGGTTTTGTTCATCCAGACGAGGGTCGGGCACCGTGATTACCCCCAGGGTGAAAGCAGATGGCACAATGTTCTGTTGGTGTTGGCAAGTAAGGAGGAGGATGAAACCAAAATGGGTCGAAGTCCAAAAACTATGCGCATGTTCGTTATGTACGGGGCTGTCTCTTATCTTGTTTTGCAGGCCCAAACCATTGAACACCGATGCTGAAGAAAAGCAAGCGATACTCCCAGAGACCAACACAATTGGTTCAAACAATATTGGGTTGTTGTGAGCTGTTGGCTCAAACATTCTTGGGGTTCTTGTGGGCTGCACCCTGTGATGTTGAGAATACGAGGTATGGAGAAAGCCCGCAATTGTTGCTAAACCGAGGTTCTGGAGTGGGAAACTTAGGCCCCGAACCGATCCGATACTCATTGTTTTACTTAAACAATGCTCATGCCTGCTAAATCCAACCAACTGCCCAGCAGCCCGCCGTGTCTTGGGTTTGCCTTTTTTTAGTCTTATGTTCTTCCGTTCTTTCTTGATGCCCCGACCTGCTTTTGAGACACGTGACACCAGTCCGTGCGCCGCTGCTACGTGGCCACGTCAACGACTTATGGCAAAGCGCTGCCAGACTCGTGGCCATGGCCAAAACATTGTAAGCCGATGAGGAAAGGGTGGAAAACGTGAATCTGAAAATGCCCTGGGGCGGCCTCACCGTCGCGGGAATCTCGCCAACTAGCTTTCGCCCCGGGTCGTGAGCCAAACACCCACCAAGAGCCATTTGTCAGCAACGTGATTGCTAAATTAATGTCCAGCTGGTGTCTTAGAATCTTCAGAAAGTTCTACGACACCTTTGGTGCGTTTTGCTTGGATGTTAGGACTTTAACTTTTGCCAACAAAATGGATTGTCCGAATTAAACCACTAAAAGTTAAACTTTAGCAGGGGAGCAGAAAGCAACCGAGTCACCCAGGGCAAGTATCCCAAGAAGTTGGACTTTCAGTCCAAGTCCTGTGTGGAGAAGTGCCCTCTGCCGGGGGAGGATATCGACGCTCGGACAGATGTCGCGGGTCTTCTTTTTGCCGCAGTTTCAGGCGGGGATATGGGTTTGCCCCAAACCAAACGAGCCTCCCAAATGGGTGTTCCGCTGCTTGTCCATTTCACTGCCCACCAATGAGGGTAGAGTTCCCTCAAGACAAGACATACGCAGGCAACAAAGCACAGGCTCAGTGGAGTTTTTGCGCAACGCCCGGTTTGGAATGTAATTGCTTGCATGGACTCAAGTAGATACCCCCCAGGTTTGAAGGCCTTACCTCAATCAGGAGTTGGCAGTTCGACAGGATGGTCCTGAGCTCAATCCGAACAATGATGACCTTCCCTCGCATACTCATGGACGAGTCATTGGCTGTTGATGATGCCACCTGCCTGGCCATCACATACTTGGCTGTTCTTGGGTTGTGATCTTTAGACTTTAACTGTTTGACAAATGAAGGGTTTTCCACTAAAGCCACGAAAAGTTTAACTTTTTGCAGAGGGATCAACAGCAACCAAGCATAGAGACATGTACTGGCCAACAGATAGCACAGTCGTTGTTGAAGTTTGATTGTGACATGTGATATGAGTCAGAAGGCCCCCCTTCCAGGTGTTCACATGGATCAATGAGCTGACAAGAGCGCCTGCAAAGTGCTCTTGACCATGTTTTGGCTAGGAAGAGGGTTATTGTTTGTACCCCGAAGCATCTATTAGCCCCCGGCCTCGCTGGGGAGTTTGTAGCAATGTTGTCAGATGTTGTTTGTTTGCTTGCTTGCTTGCTTGTTTGTTTGTTTGTTTGTTTGTTTGTTTGTCGGTGTTGTTGAACCCGGGATAACGGTCCATGATTTTCATTGAAGTGAGACTGCCAAACCATGGGCACGTCGAGACAGCCAGTCAACGGATGCAGCTTTTGTCCAAGATACTCAGCTTGGTCTGAAAGGATAGCGGGAAATCCTTTGGATATCCTGTCCTATGCTGGTTTTGCGCTATCCTTTCAACTCTGAAAATCTATTCAACCCTATGTTGGACATCAGTCAACCCTGTTTTACGGGTTGTTCGAAAGGGAAGCCGAGTCTAAGTCCCACCTATGGGGATCCAACTCGAGCTGAGGCGTGCATCGGAAAACCGCTGGTGATCCCCAGGGCACGGGATTGCCAGAACGATGGCTGCATTGCGGCTTGGCGATAGGGGTCGTGACGACAGTGGTGGTTGGTGGTTGGTGGTTGGTGGTTGGTGGTTGGTGGTGGTGGTTGGTGGTTGGTGGTTGGTGGTTGGTGGTTGGTGGTGGTGTGGTGGTGGTGGTGGTGGTGGTGGTGGTGGTGGTGGTGGTGGTGGTGGTGGTGGTGGTGGTTGGTGGTTGGTGGTTGGTGGTTGGTGGTTGGTGGTTGGTGGTTGGTGGTTGGTGGTTGGTGGTTGGTGGTTCGTGGTTGGTGGTTGGTGGTTGGTGGTTGGTGGTTGGTGGTTGGTGGTTGGTGGTGGTGGTGGGTGGTGGTGGTGGTGGTGGTGGTGGTGGTTGTGGTGGTGGTGGTGGTGGTGGTGGTGGTGGTGGCATTGGTGGCATTGGTGGCATTGGTGGCATTGGTAGCAGTAGTGGTAGAGTACTGGTAGTATATACACGTGGCGGTGGAGATACGTGTGGTAGTGGAAATCGTTGGCATGGAGGCTAGTAGCTGGTCCTGGTACCAACAGGTATATACACACCTGTCGTTGCTCTCGTCGTTGTCTTCGTTTGCAGTGCTAGTGGTTAAGAGGCTGCCGCGTGACCTAGTTGCTTAAAGCTCAGTGGGTAACTTGGATTTGCCTTCCAGACCACTATAGATGCAGATCTTTGCAGATATCATGTCTACATGAACAACACTCCAATAAGACAAATCGCACCATTCTTCCCTTTCTTTGCACGTTAATACTGGCAACACTTTGAACTTCGTACGAAGAGTCCAAGCAGAGATATGTTGCCCTTCTCTGACCCTCGTCGTGGAAACCTTTGTATCGTGAGCAGCGTGGCGTGATGCACAGGAGGGTCAATCCCTTTGTCGAATTCTTGAGGGGCGATCCACACGTGACTCGTTCAATGGACTAGACGAGTGCTCGTAGTGAGAGTCAATAAGATACGCACAAGCAAGACATTCAGCCGCCACTTTGCCGGCATCGTCAGTTCTTCACTGACCATGTTTGACAAGTTGCTCGGATTCGAAGTCGGATGTGAGCCATGTAGATGCCAGCAACCCTAGAGACAACTACTAGGACGTGATCATCCGCATTTTCAGACAAATCAAGGGACCCAATGCAACGCACAGCAGCTTCGAGCATTCTTTAACCAAGTGTGTGGTTCTGTCCATGTGTTTAGTTGCGGGCTACTAGGTCCCCCACTAGTGTCATTTTATGTGTTTAGTTGCGGGCTACAACTAGGTCCCCCAGATACTGTAGGTGCCCTTCTCTCACCAACTTTTTTGGTTGGGAGGTTCCCCTACCAAAAGAGACTTCCGAAAAAAGGGTACCCTTATTCTAACCTCTCTACTGGAGGACCTAGACAAGCACGTCTTCTGCCAAGAGTTCGAAATCGATTGGCCGCAGAGATCGGCCATCTCACGAGGTGAACGGCGTGCAGGTTCGCAAGAGCGTCACCTGGGAGGTCACTCAGGCAGGCTCTTGCCTCGACGGTCCTGGGCATGGTGCATAGCGGTCAAGGCAAATGGCGGAACCTGGCCACCATGGCGTGTGTGTTTTTTTTTTTTGCAAACCCAGGCGCCTGCGAGGCAATCGAGGCAGACACAAGACGATCAGGCGTCTCATTCGTAGCTCTGTTTGCCTCACTGGCTGTTCGAAACTTACGTGAAGCAGCATGCCACGACTGTTCTTGGGGACAAAACGGAAAAGGCCAACGCAATCTGGATAAGTGGGAACGTGTATGTTCGATGGATTTTATGAGCAGCCGCTTCGAACTCTCGAATAGCACAAATGGTTTGTTGCTGATTGGGTAGCGGCATGCGTTTGGTGCCACTCTTGGGCGGCTTTTGATGATGAGGGAGTTGCACAGATCAGGCTGCTTGAAGCGGTTTGAAGATGCGTGAGCGCGTGTTTCTTTGCCAATAGCGAGCTTACCTCGCGGCAAAACAAGCGATGTCGCGCATGATAAGGGTCCCTATTTGGCTTGCAAATCACTTGCGCCGATGTGTGCGAGTGCTCGCTTTTGTGTGTTTTGAAGCAACTCCAATATCTTCTCATCTCACGGGCCGCATGGCGGAGTGATGGACTGATTTCCTTTGGTTTTTTTGGGGGCGGGGAGCCAAGTGACAGGTGGGCCATGCGACTTGCTGGAGACACGGGTTTGTTGCGGTGCGATCTCAGCATGGAGTGGGATCCCGATCATGTGGAGAGCTTGGAATCGTCTAGGTCCCCCGGTAGTGCCCTTTTGCCAACTCTTTTTGGGGAGGGTTCCCCGACTAAACTAGACTGCAGAAAAGGGGTACCCTTATTCTAAGCTCTCTACTGGAGGACCTAGTCGTGATGCGTGACATCGTTCAAGTCAACTGAATGATCGGGTGCGAAGCCAGTCAGTTCTCCAGTGCCATCGTTCGTTGGTCGGCTGGTTCCAGCCATAGGACTCACATCTCCCTTGATCCTCGTACAAACATCAAAATGCAAAGACCGTTGCCTGGAATCGCTTCCGCATTGGGAACATAATGCAGGCAGAGGATCGGTTTCTCCAGAGGAACGTACTGCCCCCTTCAAATAGATCCTTAGCAGTTGATGCTAGTGAACCCGACATGGAAGCAGCACGTGTCTCTTTCATGCCCTTCATATTATAGTTGTTGCTTCTTGGAGTCTGCAATTTTTGCGGCGGTTCTGATGCCCGTACTCCCGCGCTTGTCAGTCGACGAGCTACCAGAAGTCCTATCCCACCGAGCCTTTCCGCGGGATCATGTGCGTGCCAGGGCGGCCTGGCAGAATGGATCTGCCGGCGTTTTTCGGTGACCCGTTTGGGTCGCCGCCTGGCTTTTCGGGCTTGGGCGAGTTGTTCTGTTCGCTTCTACCGCCTTGGACAGGGAGCTCCCCTCAATACTTGGGGGAAAACAAAAACAGCGGGAGGACATGGACACACGTGATGCTCGTGTTTGTCGATTTGTTGGCGGCGCCCCTTTGCGGAGAGCAACTCTCTTAGTAAAACTTAGGCCTGTGCTTCGAAGCTGCCCCAGACCACATCGTTTGTTCAATAAGGCAATAAGGCATCTCAGAAAACAGGTGGTCTTGATTAGTTTCTCTTTTGTGCTGATGTGTGTGTGTGCGCGCGCCGTGTTTTGCTCATGTTTATTTTTAGTTCGTCGTTGCTTGGTGCAGCTTGCTCGTGCTTGACGACACCATACTTGATGTGTTTGCGGCTGGCTGGTTGTGTTGAAGGTGTGGGTGTGTTTGTGTGTGTGAGAGTGTGGGTGTGGATGTTGTTGTTTGCAACATGGATGTTGCTGGTTGACCTTGGTGCTTGTTGTTGTTGTTGGCGTGGTTGTTGGCGTGTTTGTTGCAGTTGCAGTTTGCTGTTGCTGCTGCTGGCGCTGCTTCTGCGGCTGCGGCTGCGGCTGCGGCTGCGGCTGCGACTGCTGCTGCTGCTGCTGCTGCTGCTGCTGCTGCTGCTGCTGCTGCTGCTGCTCTTCTTGATGGCGATGGTGGCAGAGTTGGCGGCGACGTGTGCCTATGACCCGGATGTGCTTGTCGGTTTCTCTGCTTTGGCTGTCGGGGCAGCTGCCCATATCCTTGGACTGTTTTTTTTTGAACTTATGATCATGTACAATGTTGCTTTGTGTTGTCATCGCTTAGCTTAGCCCCTTGCTGGATTGCGTGGACAGGAAGGCCAACACGTTGTTTCGCTGACCGGATATAATAGACGTGGCAAGAAGCTCAAAGCCTCAAGGTGTTGCGACAGCCTGTGAATGAATGGGGAGTAAAGCCTTGGCCACGGCGCATGCAAGATTCTGTCACGCAGGACTCTCCTAGGCATACCCGGGCATTTTGTTGTAGGCTTGACAGGCAGCGTGATGACTGCTTGCCCTCCTCTAAGCCGTTGCCCGGTTTCGCAGGTGGGACGCGCCAGACCTGCGGAACCAGGTCATCTATGGCCCAGAGGGACCTCTCTCAAACACCGGGGAGGCCGGGTTGGCGCAGTAAAGCCCAAGGTGTGCCCCAAATACATCCAAACAGAGGCGACCAGGTTATATCTCTTTTGAGGTTGCTTTAAGGTTTGCTAAACATATGGACCAGAATCAAACAATGTCAACTATTTGTCTGGTTGGGGAAAAGCTGAGGTAGCTTAGGCCTTTCGCAAGCGCCTCGGGAGCTTGTTCTTTCCCATACGCCCGCCCTTGTTTGTGGAAACATTCCCATGGAACCAGCAAGACAGCCAGCCAGTCTAAACATTCCCGATACACGGAGGGTCGCAGTGGTCGAGGCAGTCCATGACTGCTTGCGCTGTGTAACATGTCAGTATTGCCGTTGATTACCGCTATTGCTTAACGCGTATTTCTCAGTTGGCTCAAAACATGAAGGCTTAGACAGATGGTACCCGACGGCCACTGAGAGTCACTGCTTGTTTCAGGTTTTAAGGCATTGCACACGGCCGGCGAATATATTTTGTCGAGCGGGACTAGTAGAGGCTTTGTTACAGGTCCAAAAACCAGCGACACAGAAGCAATTTGCAAACTTCCATTTGCTGAACGATATTTGTTTAGTTTCCCCTTGTTGGTTGTGAAGGGAATCTATCCCTACTGAAAATATCTTTGCTTTTTTCCAGCGGTTGAAGCAAAAATTGCAGCAGAGGCCACCAGAAGAGCTGACCGCATTGGATTCCACAGATTCTACTTTGCAGGCCTTTGGCAGCCTGGAAACCGCCTGGCCGGTGCTGCTCACGGTCTTTTGCATCGACTCCTGACTGGATGCCTGTGGGTCAAAACCATTGGGATCCCATATTTTGGGGTAGGAGCACCACCCATTTTAGTCTATTTTAGCGGGGATTTGGATGTTCACTGGGGGTACGGGCTTTTGACTTATGGTTAGATGGTGTCAATTTATGTCCGCGGGAAGTTACTTGGGAGGGGCTCGCAGTGTAGTATGCAATAAAGCGTTCCTGGCTCATCCGAAGAAAGCTAGAAGCACCTGAACAAGAGCAGCTGAAGGAATTGAGACTCTGTCCACTGCAGTCTGGTAGATGATCTGTGTAAAATCTGTTGCCACGCCAAGTTCACAGCCATTGGACCAGTGATCACTTTTTGTAAGGTCCGGAATCGGAATGCACTCAAGAGCAGCCTGCTATGCCAAGTTGCGATGCTCCTTTCAATTTCCAATCGTGTAAGTTACGTTTCCCATGTTTTGACCGACGAATCCGCCGCAGTTGTGGTGCCCTCGTCACAACCAAGCCATCGAATGATCAGATGAGCCAAACATGTACTAACAGGGCCAGTATAACGTGCATATGTCCCTATCAGAATATGTGAAGATGGCGCAACTAACCGCAGTCCAGAATGATCTCCCCAGTTCGTGGCCCGCCCAACACTCCATGTCGAGATATGCCAGTGTCATATTGCATGGTACAACTTGTGGTGCCTTTGATAAAGATGGTTTTCAAGCTGTTGATACAAATGGTTGACAAGCATGATGCGCTTATCTTATGCACGGCAGCAAAAGGCATGACCCAATTGCCCATATTGCAACCGGCAGATTGCAAGATTACTATTGTCAGACACGTGTCCCGAGCCCGAAGCGAGCAGAGCGACACGAGGGATGGGCCGAAGGTTTCGTCAGGATCCGTTCCATGACAACTAGATGTTAGGTCCTCCGGTTGCCAAGGGACCCCAACAGCGCACTTCCATGGCCAGACCTCTTGAAGGCCCGAGATGGGCTGCCTGAATGTCCGCTGTAAGGACTCGTTTTTTTGGTTCGGAGGGCCCTGCGGGCTAGACACCACGGTTACTCACCATGGATGGTGGCGTGTAATCGAATGCCAGTTTGGCTGGAGAGCGTTACAAAGGCTGTTGTCACGGATGCCTGGACGATAAATTGTGCTGCTTTGCTGCATGGCTCAATTAATTGCTTTAATGCAATCACTTTTTAAGGCAATCTGGCTCTGGCATGAATTGAGCTTTCGGCGATCTAGACTCTGAGGCGACCTTGCTTTCCATCATTTTCCTCCTCTTGATGACCTGCTATGCGGGTCCTGTGCTCTTCTTAGCGATCGGCCTGGCGGACATCCTGATCTTTCTCCTGGGGATCTTCTTTGCCATCGGCGTCTTCTTCGATCCCTTCAACACGGCCCGGGTGCCCAGCAGCCAAACCGAAACCTTGCTCTGGTTCACATGGCAACCCCAAAGGCCATCCATTGTGCAGGAAGCTTCTTGTGAAGTACCCCCTTTGAGTTGTGTGTTGATTTGCAGGGAAGTAGGTTGTGTGGAATGACCGATTCCAGAGACAAGAAGGGTGTCCAGGAATGTCTAGCTATGCATGCCACTTGGGCTCGAAGCCTCTTGCAGTGCGAGCTTTTCGACCGATGAGAATTCAACTTGTACCGTGGACCTGCGACCTGCAACCAAGCTGTGTTTGTCATCCATCCCTGGTGTATGCTGGTTGTCAGTTGACTTTCAAGAGTCCGATGGAGGGCTGGGCGTCAAGAATGGCCGGGCAAGAAGCGAAGGATTGGCTTTTGATTTAGAGAGCAACTTGTCTAGCTCGGTTGGTTTAAGGGAAACCAACGGAACAAACCATTTCAGAACATCCGCCTATTTGGACACATAGCGCCAGACGTGAAACGTGTGTGTGCCATGCGTCCTGTAGACAGAAAGCCGCTGGAGCCCAGTGATGAACAGCTTCGCTTCATCTCCAACAAGAACCTACGGTGGAGGTATGAAGCAAACTGTCAACCTCATGCCTTCTTTTATCTTGATCTTGCAAGCCTTTTTCTCTAGAACCGTTTGAGTTGGCTGGTGCCCCTGTGATGTGTCCCCAGCCGACACAAGGTCAAGCCCTTTCTGAACGAAGTTCCAATAAACGATGTTCAAGCACGTTGCTTGAATCGAAGATCTGCGTTCCAAGATCCGACTCTTCACACAGGGTGTTGAAGCAGGGCTTGGAAACGGTGAGTTGATACCCCAAGTAATATAATCTGCCAATTGAAGCCCTATCACCAGATATCAAGTAGATAAGATATGTCCAGACTACGCACAATTGAGCAATTCCTGCGTGCATGGTTTCAAGTTTTCAGCAACCAGCTAATTTTCCCCTTCTGTGCCAATTGCTTAAAACGCGCAAGCAGCTGCCCTAGCGAATTTCGCAGCGCTCGAGGGTGCCAGCTGTGCGCCTTTGAGTAATGTAGAGGCTACGCTTCTTTGAATCATAAGTCTACTTCCTTTTACCTTTGAATCGAGTTATCAAGCAGCCATGCAGCTTTCAAGAATCATCAGGAGGAGCAGGAGAACGCAAAGCACAGTTCTCTTGCATTTCTTTGAGACTAGGGCCCCTTTTGGCATGACATGTAAATAAAACTGACATGAAGCCCAGCTTCCGGAGCACCCGACTCAGGCTGGTTGGTACCAGTCCTGGAATCCCATCGACAGGCTGGAATGGCAAAGCTTTTTTGTCCAGGGTTCTGAGACTGGGTGAGAAGGCATGAGAAGAGTGAACCTGCTGCTTCACCTGCTTGTTTCTTGTCTATTACTTCTCGTTGCTTGTTTCTTGCGTATTGTTTATGCAGGGCATTAGTTTGTCAAGATATTGTTTTTGTTGCTTTCTTCAGGATTTGGTGTTTGTTTTTTCTCTGGGCTGGCTTTTTGGCAGCTTTTATAACTTTGGCGTGCATCACTAGCACACTCTTGGCACTACCTTCAGGGCCTGGCGGCTATTAATTAGTTTGACTGGTCCTGATTTGTGTTCGTATTCTCGCTTGCCCAAAGCCGACGTTTTGACCTTTTGGTTTTCCCTTGTTGGTCCATTTTTAGTCATGGCCCCACAAGGTTAGCCTTCTGTTTCTGGGTCCTCTGGGCAACTGAGTATACAGGGAGCGTGTTTATAGGACCCCAGTTCGACTGCCAGGACAATGTTTGCAATGAGCCCAAAAAGCAAACAACCTAGCGCCCTAAACCAGCACCAAACCAACCTTAAACCCTGGACCTTAAACCCCACACTAGATCCACACTCGACCCACCCCAAACCCATGCGTGTGTTTGTGTGTCTGTGTGTGTGTGCGTGTGTTTATGTGTATGTGTATGTGTATGTGTATGTGTGTGTGTGTGTCTCTGTGTTGAATGCGTGTGTGATGCAGGGAAACTGGTGCAGTGTATCTGTCTTTGTCATAATTATGTGGTGTACAGCTTGCGTTTTGTGTTTGCGTACCTGTGTACATGCAAACGTGTGTGCCCGCGCATGCGTACGTGGCTGCAAGCGTGAGTGCGCGCGTGGTTTTGCAAGCATTTGTTTAATGCTATGTGATAAGAATGCGTAAACGGCCGAGGTTGCGTGAGACTGGCAGATCGATACCATGGGTGCACTGATCTATTTGAGTAAATGCCGGTGGTCTGTTTGGCAGGACTCTCTACGGTGAATGGGCGCGGGTCCTGAACCTTCTCGTGGGCCTGATCTTATTGGGGGTTTCAGTGTTGATGGTGCACACGCTGTATCACGCTGCGGAGAGGCGGGGAGAAAGAGAGACTGTTTGCGGCCGTTTGATAGACTTTCCTGGCAGGCATTGGGGACGTTGGTTGCTACCTGGAGTCTCCATGACCCTCTAAAATGAGTCCATGACCCCATTATTTTGGGTAATGCGCCCATTTTTGAAGCGTCATGGAGACTCCAGGTAGGTAGTTTGGGGATTTCTCTTTCAACTTCAACTCACAGTGTTGCATCCACCGAGAGAAGCAGAGGCATGGCTGGGGATGAGGAAAGCGCTTCCACGCGCCATCAAGGTTACATGGGCACAACTCAAACCACTTTGCATCGCTCGCCGGGACACCCCACCTGTTTGAACATGCCAAAGTCAAATCTCGGCCAAAGATGCGCCGGAGTTGCCGCAAAGTTCATTGGTAATCAATGCACTGTAGCCTATTTTGATCAGATGCCCTGTGCTTGCCGTTTGTGGCTTTGCCCTGTTGGGTTATATTTGAAGTAAAGGCGGTGCGTATCCTCGCCGAAAAGGCCACACAACAATTCGCGCCGATGGAAGCGGTCTGCCTGCCCTTTCAGCTGAGAGGATTGGCCTGCTGCCAAATCGGATCCCATCAAATGGTCCACTGACGCACTCTGTGGCCCACTATCTTGGGGTTTTGCGTGTCCTGCTTGCCAAATCCCTGGCTCGCAGGAGGGCCTGTGTTAGTGAGTGCTGGCCTCATTTTGCACAGGAGGTTCCATGTATGCTTTCGTTTTTGTTCACAGTAGGTTTCCAGATTGTGAATCAATGTGTAATCTCCTTCTTTGGCAAATGACAATTGCTGTTTGACGCGTAATGACATGAACGGCCAAGAGCACACATTCCGGTACACGCCCTTGATGTGAAAGAGGATTGACGAGCCAATCGGCATCATCCACGCCTCCATGGAGTTCATTTTCGAACCCAAGCACACCTCGATCCCGTTTCTCCTTCTTGCGCCTGGGTGCTGACGTCGCAAACCGATTGGTGACAGCCTTGCTTGGGGTTGACACAACCGGGCATGTCTCGTTCCAATGCATTACTTTGCTTCAATTTTGCCATGCTTCTTTGATTTGGGAACACTGCCACGAGCAGTTGCAGATGCACCTTGCAGGCAGGAAGAGGCTAGTCTTGTTTTAGTTTTGCGCTGTGGCCGAAGCAGCGGAACTTGAAAGCGCATGTTTTTTCTTGGGTGGATCGGAGCGGTGGTTTCATGTGTGGTATTTTCTTGGTGGCTCCCAGCCACCCCCTTAGCCTTTTAGCTTTTTAGTGTTTAGTGGGGATTTCCATTTGACCCACTAAAAGTTAAACTTTTAGCGGGGGATCTGAGGACAGCCCAATTTCGTTTGCTCTCAGTGGATGTTTCGTTGTGAATCTAGCCGAGTGCGCCTCCAGGGAGTGTCTTGGGCACTTAGGGAGGGAAGTGGTTGCTTCCAGATCCGAAAAGAGCCGGGTTGGAACGTTCTTCTGTTTCGTGCTCCTTCTGGATGTTTTGCCTATGTTTCAGAGGGTGGACACCCCGATATCGCCGATAACCTGAAGTCTGATGTGGGCAAGAGGCCCCCACACAAGTGTCCAGGAATCCCGTGCAAGTCCTTGTAATTAAGCAGGATGTGTCTTTTGTATGGCCGTGCGTGAGTCTTTGAAGGCTTTTTGATGCAGGGAGGGCATCCTCCCACCCATTGCTTCTTAAAATCTACGGGTTCATCCTTTACGGGCCACTGGAAAGCAGCTGGGTCCAACATCTTGCCGAGCACCCAGCTTCTTTTGCGCCTTTGGGCTTCTCCCGGGAGTGTGGCGATGCTTTCTGTGAGGCCCGAGGCCATTTGATTCAGTGCGCTGCATGTCTGAATCAAGTGTCAAAAGGCCGCCATTTCTGCTTTAGATGGCTACTTCTGCTGTGCAAAACCCTATTGTACTTTGCAATTTCACTTGCAAAGCTGATTGGGAACAGTCTTGCTCCCTCTGAGTTTTTTAGGGATATTATGGTACTTGTTCCAGCAAGCTCCTTACTTGATGCGATCCACCGAACGAGGCTTGCCATGTTTTTGTTTTTTCCCCCGAGGATAATTCTTGGTACCCCTTTTTTTTAGTTCCTTCGATGTGATCCAACCAAGATGCGGCTTAGCAGATGCCACTTGCCGTCAAGCCCCAGGTGCCCTTTGGCTCCTCAGTGGTGACCATTGGCTTCGTGGGCCTCGCCGTCTACTTCTTCATGCCACTCGCCTCAAGCCATGCGCCGGCCATTTGCGCCGGCCATGCGCCGGCCATTTGCGCGTCTTGCGCGTCTTGCGGTCTTCATGGGCCGTCTTCCGTTTTTGCTTTAACAGGCAGGCCCCTAGGATGGCAAGGCAAAGATGAGGGAAGTAGGGCAGGCCCATGTAAGATTGATGTGCGCTTTTCAAAGGAAGGAAAGCTGAAATAAGTTAGCCTGGAATGGCAATAGAGGAGCATTGAATCGAAACCGCAGGCAACATGGGCAAGGGCGGTCCGTCGCAAGGCGTCACAGCAAGGTTCCAAAGGAAATCAGCCACCAACTTTCTTTCTTTCTCTGGCACCGAGAGTTCAGGTCTCTGCCCGAGCACAAATTAATTCAGGCCAAGAAACGCTCACCCGGCAAACACAGCCACCAACGCTCCAAACAACAAGCAATACGGGACCGCAATGTCCGTCCTGGATCCCAGAATTGTTAAACCCAGAGTTGATGGACAGGGAAGTGCCCAAAAAATGAAGGATCTCCTCTTGAATTTTGGATCAAAAGACCCAAAGATCTCTAGCAGAAAATGCCCTAAAGCAGGAAGCAACCTGCAGGAAACATTTGATGGCACACCAGCCAAAGAATCCAGTCTGTGAAGTGTGCAAAAGCAACCCCTGCGGGTTGCCAGGGGGCCTGTCGGACAGGTTCTAATCATTGGGTTCTGATCGCGTGCACCGAAGTAAACTGATGCAATGCGCCCAGTTTCCAAGAGAACGGAGCCCATGGCTCAGAAATGGGTTTCCAAAATTGGGTTTTTTTTCAAGACAAAAGGAACCGAGGACTGAACAATTGGGTTTCCACAATGGAACCCTGGCACGTGGAACCGCCGCAGGTTGGTGCTCACTGCTGGGCCTGTAGAATCCAGAGGCGAGGGGATATACCGTCCGGGAGGTATGTTGGACTTGATATGTAGTTTGTGACGACCACTTTTTGGTGGCAAAAATACAAGTTTGGACTTGTTTTTAGCTCATCCCATCAGGAGGTGAGTAGATGTTTCCTTATTCACTGTACAAATATCCCTTGTTGGACCGAATCAGGGTGAGTTTCCTCTTGAGTGATATTCGAAGGGGAAAACATCAGCAGCCCTGCGGGCGGGATCAGCTCTGCCTCCCGGTATCGAGTGGGTGGCTCATGGTTCCTCCCCCTTGTTCCTGGTTGATTCATGCCTCGGTTCATGGCTACAGTCTCCATGTTTAGGTTAGGGGGCATTGGTCTTTGTCTTGATTTTGTCTTTGGGCCACGCTGGGTTGACGTCAGCAGCCTTCTCTCAAACTCGCGTGTGAGTGAGCACTATGTCGCATTAATACGATTCTTCGTGGTTATGACTGTATGAATATGTGTGCACTGGTTTGGAATCAAATTTGATATTTGATGTTTAAGGAGCTGCCAGCTTGACGTCCGGCTCAGAAGCTCCATGTTTTTTGCATGAATGGGAAGGATGTGCGATCACTTCCACCCAACTGAACGATTTTGATCCATGTGCAATTTGTGCAACAAAACGCATTGCACAGAGCTTTGGCATCTCAGTTGAATTGGCCTACTGCGCTTCTCTTTGGTCTATGGAGCAAGTCTTCGCTCACACCAAAAAGACAGGGACGCGGAAGTGAACTGCGGCGTGATGCCGAGAGAAGCATCAGGATAGTAATACAAACAAATGACGCATGCGAGTGTGTGTGTGTGTGTGCGCGTGACTGCGTGTGTGTTTGTGCGCGTGTGTGTGTGTCTTTGTGTGTGTGTGTGTGTGTGTCTGTGTCTGTGTCTGTGTCTGTGTGTGTGTGGGTGCGTGCGTACGTGCGTGCGCGCCCGCGCGCGCGTGCGTACGTGCGTGCGTGCGTGCGTGCGTGGGTGTGTGTGTGTGTGTGGGTGCGTGCGTGGGTGTGTGTGTGCGTAAGGGTGCATGCGTGCGTGCGTGCGTGCGTGCGTGCGTGCGTGCGTGTGTGTGTGTGTGTGGGTGCGGGTGCGTACGTGCGTGCGTGCGTGCGTGGGTGCGTGGGTGTGTGTGTGTGTGGGTGCGTGCGTGGGTGTGTGTGTGTGTGCGTAAGGGTGCGTGCGTGCGTGCGTGCGTGCGTGCGTGCGTGCGTGCGTGCGTGCGTGCGTGCGTGTGTGTGTGTGTGTGAATGTGCGCGCGTGTGCGTGTGTGTGTGTGTGTGGGTGGGCGCGTGCGTGCGTGCGTCCGTGCGTGCAGACGTGCGTGCGTGCATACGTGCGTGGGTGGGTGGGTGCGTGTGTGTGTGTGTGTGTTTGGGCGCGTGCGCGCGCGTGTGTCTGCGTGTGTGTGTGTGTGTGTGTGTGTGTGGGTGCGCTTGTGTGTGTGTGTGTGCGTGCGTGTGTGTGCGTGGGTGGGCGCGTGCGTGCGTGCGTGCGTGCGTGCATACGTGCGTGCGTGCGTGCGTGTGTGTGTGTGTGTGTGTGTGTGCGTGCGTGCGTGCGTGTGTGTGTGTGTTTGTGTTGTGTTGTGTGTGTGTGGGTGCGGGTGCGTGCGTGTGTCTCTCTGTGTGTGTGTGGGTGGGTGGGTGCGTGCGTTGTGGTGTGTGTGTGTGTGAATGTGCGTGTGCGTGTGCGTGTGCGTGTGCGTGTGCGTGCGCGTGCGCGTGCGCGTGCGCGTGTGCGCGTGCGCGTGCGCGTGCGTGTGCGTGCGCGTGCGCGTGTGCGTGTGCGTGTGCGTGTGCGTGTGCGTGTGCGTGTGCGTGTGCGTGTGCGTGTGCGTGTGCGTGTGCGTGTGCGTGTGTGCGTGTGCGTGTGCGTGTGCGTGTGCGTGTGCGTGTGCGTGTGCGTGTGTGCGTGTGTGTGTGTGTGTGTGTGTGTGTGTGTGTGTGTGTGTGTGTGTGTGTGTGTGTGTGTGTGTGTGCGGGTGGCTGCGCGTGTTTTCTTTCTGCCTGTTTGTTATTGCCACGTGTTTAAATGGTGACCCTGGACAGAAGCCAATTACGCGTCACAACATCGCTGCATTGTAAGCTTTTGTTTCGCACATGTGATGCACGAGCGCAAGGTTCTATCCGGAAAAGCTGGCTTGTGTATGGCAGACTGGCACCCCGGACCCTTTCGGCCATGAGATAATTTCGAGATATACGATGAAAATGGTTCACCCCAAGCAGAAGCAACCAGGGCTCAGAATTCAGCTTGTTTTTCCGTCGAACGTGTTTATGCGCGGGCCGGGAAAGAAAAACTCGCTGCACGCCTATTGAAAGAACACGTATGTTGCGCATATTGCTTGGCTCTGAAGCAGTTGGATGCCCTTGGATGCCCTTCTACAAATAGGGGTCAAGATTTGTTGATGACAAATAGGATTGCATCATATTTGGTCACCAGGATTTTCTCGGCAACTTTGTGTGAAGCATTCATCAAGGGTTCCAGGAGGGCACCAGCCTGTCACTGCCAATGCTTGCAGCTTCCTGCGATAAGCTTCCTTCCAGGCATCGAGATCAACGGCGATCACTATCCGAGCCTGTACAAGATGCTTGGCCCAATGCCGTGTGAATCTTTGAGGTGTACGATACTATTTTTAAGCAGTGGCTTTGAATCCGAGTATCGGACTGTAGCTACTACCAAAGTATTTCGATATCAGAAGAACCACGGTTGTTGTTTTTTTCCTCAAAGACGTTTGCCCGATTCCTCCTATTGTCAACAGCAGACTTGAGTCCGGCAGAGCCAGTCAAGTCAAACCGGACAGTCGCAGTCGTGCGGGGGTTGCGTTGTGAAACAACCTGTGATAGCCCAAGTTGATATCCAAGCAGATTCGAGAGCCTTCACTTTTGTAAAGACGCAATCTCACCCCTGACCGATTATTGAAGAGGACGTCCAACAGCTTAAGAGCACCCACACCACGAAGAAGTGTTTTGGCATTTGCAGCAGTTTCTGGCACTTCAATACAGTATGTAACGAGCGATGTCTATATATTAATATATTTAAGGGATAGAGGGAGGGAGAGAGAGCAAAGGCTACGCAATTGTTGGCAAGTTAAGTTACTCATTGAATCCCGATCCTGCACACTCGGGCGACCCACAAAGCTTGGGTAACTCAGGAACAGGAGATGTTGGTATTCTGTTTATTTGATAGGCAATGACAACATTTGAATGAAGGCCCGACATTGGCTGGTCTTCTGAGAAGGACAAATAGCAAGAGACAGGAAACCCATGTGCTTTGAGCTGTTAAGTACGTTCGGACATGCTTTCGTGTGACAGCACGTGCATTGCGCGTTCATACATGTGAGGACTGTACGTTACAGCAAACCTGAGTGTTCATGTGCGTCCACTGTTCCAGCCTAGCAAAGACAAGCTGCAACTTCAGCACAACAGTCATATGTTGATGCAGAGCCACAGCAAGTGGAGCCACGTTAGCCTACTAGTGACTATCATTGCTCAATAGGGTGAAAGGACCAGGGTCATAAACTTCACTCGGCTCCCTTTGGTATGGCTCAGAATGGCTCTGAATCCTTGGAATCAAGTGGTCCAAGCAGAAGCTGCTGCTCAGGACGGTTCAAAAGCCTTGGAATGGCCTGGGCTGGGATATCGCGATACTCCTCTTCATCGCGGGACTTATTTGGATTGCCGAGCTTTTGACTCTCGGCAGTCAGAAGGCTTCGCATGGCTAGCCGGATGACATGTATGGTTTCTGCTGGAGCCTCTGTGTCATTTGCAGAAGTGCTGGTAGGAGATGAAGTGTTGCGACCGCGCGGGACTACAAATATCTGGGTGAATTATAACGACCTCACACGAACCACCTTATTTCAGATTGGTGAAATATTGTATTTCACCCAGAAATATACGAACATGTCACTCCTTTAAAGTCTCAGAACCGGTGCTCGGGCACCGGACCTTGAGACCGGCTGATGTACCGTTTGCGGGAGGTTTGCATGTGAAACATGGCTCGCATGGTCATGGGAGCCTTTGGGGATTCAGACGCGCATTCAGTGAACCATAGCCGTTCTTGACCATGGCTACAGAGTCTGACGCCAAGCACATCACCTGAGGTTTCCTAAGGCCTTGAGGCGTCGCGCAGGTATGAGGCGTCGCGCCAAAGGCCTCATGGCTCCTGAGGATTGCGGTGGGCCAGTTTGTGGTCAGCTACTGCGTTTGTGAGTGGTTCTTCGTGCCGATCAATGTGATCGAGCAGCTGGGCGGGACTAAAGGGAGCTTGTGTCTTTGAACCTGCCTGCAATGTGTGCAGAGCGGGTCTTGTTGTGTGTGTGTGATTGTCGGCCAATCCTAACTCTTTTAGGTTTGCTTTGGCTGTGGCTGGATGCATCTTCGAGCCAATCGTGTATTGGTATCGTCACTACCCACGAAAGCCAACGCCCGGATTTTGATGGATGTTGGGCCTCAGCCTTCTGAGTTCATGGCATGGTCAATGAACAGAAGGTTATATAAGTTGGGCTTCCTCTGTGATACTTCTACAGCGTCGGTTGGTACACACATTTTTTCCGGAGCAGGCTCCCGGCAAACTGCAACGCCACTGGAGGTCAGTTTGCAGACTATTTCCAAGCTTGACACAGTGGTTGAACACCTTGATTCGTGTCAAAGGATTTCCTCGTGGATAAAGTTTTGGCTTGCTTATCGTCGGGCAAGATAATTAAACATATTCCAGCTGCAGTAGGGCGGTAGATCTTCCAAATCCCAGTTCCATTCCTGCTCCATTATTCCTGCTCTTGGGTCCCTTGAGGTAAACATTCCGAGGATTCTGCCAACTACAGAGACTAACTTTGCGGACTCCCAATCTCAGGGCTCCAGAGGCAGCAAAGATGAAGGAGCAGGCACACGCAGCATCCTCAGAGGCGGGACCCGTTAAAACCTGGGCTGGAAGAGGCCTTTTGGTGGGCTCCATGTTCTGGAGGGCGGTTGTTTCCAACAAGTGGGCTGGCCGGTACTGGAAGCTCCCCCAAACTAACATGGAAGCTCCCAAGACGGTCTCGGAAGACTCGGTTCCATTTCGACCTATGGGCCTGGGAGCTTCCCTGTTAGTCGGAGTGTATGGTTTCCGTGCCCGGACAGCTTTGAGAGGTGCAACTTGTTTTCAACTGGAGCCTGACGATGTCAACTTGGATGTCCTGGTCTTTCTCCTTTTGCAGGGCCGCTGCGAGCTTCCAGCGGGTGGAAGCCAGCGTGGATAGGTCGCTGGGTTTCGAGAGGCTCCCTAGGAAGCTGCTCGGTCCACGCGGGGGGATTTTTGTCGGTACATTCCTCGACACCAAAAGCACCGCACAACTCAGGAATTCAGGCTTCGGCAAAGGAGGATTTTGGATCGATTCGAGAAACTATGCGTTTCAGTGCAGCAATCAGCGACTTTCAGCCTTCGGCCCACGATTGGGCAGGGATTCAGTGCGGGACTCTTTTGTTTGGGAAAGATATCACGATCTCTTGAGGTAAAACGAGCTGGCCCATGGATTCTCACCTTGGGAATTGCTCATTTCCGGTTTGTGAATTGTATCCAACATGCTTTCGCCACGGTCGCTCGCTTTCATGCCTGGCTCTTGCGGAGGAATCTTCCGCAGTATCCTAAACCTGAAGACAAAAACAAGGGCGCACCGTGTTTGCAAAAGGACCCAAACAATATACAGTGTTGTCCCCTGACTCTACCGGTTTCCACGGGTCTGCGATTTTCTCGGGGTTTGCGCGGGTTTATTGAATACAGGTCAAGGCAAAACAAGCGTTTCGTGAAGACTGATGTGTTTACCCGTTGTTTTGCAGCGAGCAGCATGACATTACATGGTTTTTGATGGTTGTTGGGTCTCAAGGATAAGTTTGTTCATCTCGAGATGTGATATCGCCATGTCTGTCCAACTTGCAGCGGAGCTGACGAAAGCTCCAGAGCAGAGCAGATCCTGGCACTGCATATGGCTGCTGGTTGCGGTCCTGCTGATTCTTGGCATGCTGCAAGTCGCACGTCAAACCTATGAGCCAGCCAGTTCACTTCAACGGAGCTTTGGAAGATGAAAGCTGAGCAGTATGTGGAGGTGTTTCCTGTGCAAGGCCCTTTTGACTGGCGATGCTATTGCCCAACGATATTATAGCTATCAAATGTATTCGCTGCGGAAGTAAGGGCGTGATTTTGCACAGTGGGACTGAGCAGAATGGGTCTGGAGTATGAATGGCTAGATCCAGGATCGCATTCAATTTGCAGTCCCTCAAGAGTCACCAGTTGATCCGGTTCAATCAGCTTGTGTCAGTCTTTTCGCTGACTAGTTACACATACTATCTGGCTAATGATAGCGAGCCCACTGGCCCCGGGCGAGCCCCAAACCCCGAATTATGAGGTGGTTTCCGAAATAAGGGTTTCTCAAATCTGTCGGGTGATTTTTGGGGGCACCGGGGCTTCGCTGACGACGTCTTCGATGGCCCTTCTCTGTCTCTCATTAAGACTGGCATGTAATTGGCCCCGAGAAGCTTGAAAGCCCAAACGTTTGAGAAACCATCGACCCCTGTCTTTCATCAAGACGGGAATCAGATTCTCAAAAACCAGGCGTTTCTGCTTATTTGGCCCTGAACAACTTGAAAACACACACGTTCGAGAAAATCCGGCCCTTATCTGTCTCTCGTTAAGACTGGCATCAGGGTATCCAAAACCAGCCGTGTTTCTCCTGGTGGCCCCAAAACGCTTGAGAAAGTCCGACCCGCCTGTCAATAATCAGGTTTTCACAAAACCATAAAAAGCTTCACAAGAACACGTTTGAGAAGAAACCGCTTAACAAAAAACACGTTTGAGAAAAAACAAGAAACAGTTGCAACGATACACTTAGCTCGACACCCCTCTTTCATTGAGACTCAATTACCAGCCATTTCCTTTGATGGCTGCGAGAACCTTTGCGCGTTGAGAGCATATCAGCATTCCTCCATCCCTTTCATGTTCTTCATTTTGGGCCCTAAAAAAGCAGGGATTGATTGAGACCCCGCCAGGGAAGGGACCGGGTTTCGAAACCATTGTTTTTGAAGTGTTTGCTTCAAACAAGTCCAAAAACAACAGCGATTGAGACGTTTTCGGGGCGGATCAGCTTTCTCCATCCCCACTTATGTTCTTCATTCTGGGGCCCAAAAGCGCAAGAAAGAGTGGGCTTGAGAATCCAGGAATGACCGGGCCTCTCAAAAACCATTGTTTTTGGAATGCTTGCTTCCAAGTTTGAGCCCATTTTAAGAGGCAACAAAGGCCCCGAAATATGAGGTGCAAGGTGAACCCTTAATTTTGCGAGGTATTTGTTGTTTATTATGTTTAACAATTCGAGGTACGAGGCACAACCAGGGTTGTAGAAATACTATATTAGCCAGATCCTATTGCCTCCAACTTCACCCATGAAGTGTCTGTCTATGAGCCTAGTGTTGACAACGCCTTGCTGTGTAGGCATACAAGCTGTGTCATTGCGACAGAGTATGTGGGAATAGCGCGTGAGCATCGATACTCGCCAAGGTTGGCACGAACCACAGTGAAGCACAATTTTCAACTTGGAAGGGTTGCATGATGGCTGTTATCACACATTTTCTCACGTGAGCAGCGCCCAGAAGCCTTTGGACACCAGTTTCGGTCGGGGGTCTTTTGCCCAGGAGATGATAGTGAGGCCTCTATTGACCTGTACAACTATCTTAGCAGAACCGAAAGTCAATGGGTTTTGCGCGTAGCTCATCTGCTTGCTGCTTCCATTGGGATGGCTTGTGGATTTGAGGCTGCTGCGGCCGGCATGGGGTTGCGCTGCTCTGGCGCTGCTGCTGCTTTGTGCCAGCCCGACCGTCACTCCGCGGCTCATTGCCGGGCTCCAGGCGCGCTTGGAGATTGCTGCAAAACATAGCAACGTTGCAAACATAGGTGTCCTTTTTGGTTGTTTTGGTCGAACAAATAGATGGCCCTGGTTTACCTGCTGGGTTAATCATCTACCAGGGCCATCTATTTCCCGGAAAATGACGCCTATGGTTGCAAAAAATAACGGAAAGGGGATGTATTGTCGATTGTGTCCAGAACACCCAATGACCTGTCGCAGTTTTCTTGGCATGATTTGTTATTTCATTTTCCCAGCCAATGTTCTATTGGAATGTTCTCGAACAGCCCAACAGGTGCCTGGGCGAGCCATGAAGACAAGATGTGACCGCCATTTAACTTGCGCCTCCCTCGCACAAATGCAGTAGCTGCTGCCCGAGTGCTTGTTCAGGAGTCAGATTTCTTGCCAGGCCAACATAGACTTGCCAGCCTTTGCCCACCCGCGTTAGGCCAAAACGCGTTGCAGGCAAAAAATACATATCCGCGTTTGAGCCGCTGCGCAGCCAGCATGCAGGCAAGTAAAGGGTCCCCCGACCTTACGAAAGATGAGCCATAGATTTCCGAAGGGTGTGGAATGTTTTGGCGAAGAGGGCCCCTTGCTGGTTTGCTCACGGAAGATGGGGCGCACAAAAAGTAGTGTCCGTGCCGAAGCAACATCCTAAGCCTCCTCGAGGCAAGCGGCTGCCTCGAAAGATCCATGGACTCTCATTCCTTGGGTCGAAGCAGTTCCGTGTGTCTTCCCTCTTGCGGCAATGAGATGGGTCATGACTCACATTGACCTCCTTACTAGGGTTTAAGACACCAAATGTCATGGTTCCCATTGAGGACATGGCGCATAGAATTCCCATCTCCGCCTCTCTTGCCCATACCCGTACAAGCAATTTATACCAATGCAAACCCAGACAAACCCAAGATGAGTTTAACAAAAAAACACTAAATACTGTAGGTGGACGAAATCCTGCACCACCTAAAATCCCTGGCATGATGATTCCCTTGTAAATACCAAACAAACAGTGGTTTTCCATGGTTTCCAAGTGGTGCAGGAATTTGTCCATCCACAGTATCATCCCCAAACAACAAAATGCTTATTGAAAGGAATTCATCACCACTGGACATATTCTCTCATTTTTTCCTGGGACCTTAACCAGATGGAAGAATATATCAGCCAACACACTCGTCAGGTGGCGCAGCTGATCTCTCGGCTGCGTTCCCTGCGGCCCGCGACGCGCTTGAGCTGCTGGGCCCAGGGCTGCCACCTGCAGACGCTGCTCTTCGCCTTCCGGCCCCAGGCGCGCGGCTCGGGGCGGCTCGGGCGGCTCATGGCGGGGGGGGCGGAAGCACAGGCCGCCGAAATTGGAGGGGTAGACGGATGCTGGGGTTCAGTGGTTCCCAGCCATCCGGTTCCTTAGCTTCTTGGAGCTTTTTAGTGTTTAGCGGCCCAGAAAGAGCTTTTAGCTGAAAGTGTTCGGTAAGCCCTGAGGCCAGCACAAGGAGAAAGGACGGACGGGCATTTGGCCATTTGGGACGCCTGTGGGACGAACGTGAAGCACGTAAAGCCGAAGTTTGCGCATTTTGGGATCATGTTGGAGTGCGCAGGTTATGGGGAAGGGGGTCGGTGAACGGCAACGTTGTCAGAGTATTGGTTTTGAACGCATAAATGGCAGATTGTGTTGGTGAAGCACGAAGGGATGAAGGCTCGCCATTTGGTTTGTGACTTCGTGGGTGCCCCTACTCTTCAATCACCCAAACAAAAATGGTTTCAGTGGTTCTTCTTTCCGAAAACCCACCAACCCCCCTCTGGGACACGACTGATTTTGAAAACAACGACGTAGAAAAACGGCGTGTGACCAGAATTCGACCGCTATGGACGGACATTAACCCCGTATATAAATGTTCTCGTCAGCAGTTCATTTCTGCAGTTTTGCCGAATAGTATGTAGCGTGCCCCGCCAAGCCAAAAAAACAAAGACACCGAGGGACGGAAGGGTATGGCCCTCCACAGGTTTCTTGCCTCGGAGCTTTGCGTTGGGACTCC